CCCTGATCCACTCTTTAGGGATGAATTAATTCCCAAGGTTAGTGAATCCCGCCTTCTCCTGTTAAATCATGCACCATTCATACTTGAATGCTTCTGGGGCACTACCCGCGTAAGACCTGTCTACTACACTCTAAAGAAATAAGCAAGGAAGATGAGGAAAGACTCCCTAGCCCTCAAAACCCAATAGCGTCGGGGTCAGAAAAAAAAACACGAGTTGGCCAAGGGAGACCGATAGAATAGATGAAAGCATTGTGGCACAAGAGAGTTAAAGATGTCACAATGGTAGATGAAGGAACCATTAACGATAGGGAAACATCCTTATGGGGAAGACAAAAGGATAGGAAAAGAAGTACGATTAGATGGGATGGATGAGGACGTGGTAGGACACCGACTGTAGTCTGGCTTAACACCAGCCCCTCAGGTTTTGGCCTGTCGGCGATGGGTCGACCCTACCAGTAGTCATGCGTAGAAATAGCTCGTATGGCTACCGCATAGCTACCGGACTTAGCCCCTTCCACCTCACATGAAGCACACAAGCCTCCCCGCCCGCACGGACAGTGCTACTTCAAGGCGGTGTCCCCAGGGGAGGACAATAATGTTAATTATTTCTTATATTTACTGTATTTTCATGTGCTTACGGAGAACTATAATGCACGTAATGTCTTTAAACTTTTTAATGACAATGGATGATAACTGAAAAAATAGCAAAGTATTACTTTATAAGTTTTTATACCATTTATTTTTATATTTCCTAATTGTATTGATTCTTTAAACTATATTACATGCTCAAAAATAACAAATTCAAGATAGAAGTGTTTATTGTAGAAGAAAAAAATCACTAAATAACTGAAACTAATTCTAAAACGGACAACGGACACTGATATAAATAACACCAAGGACAGTTCACTCATCAAAAGGTTCTCCAAATCACCATTGTCCTGGCAAAAACGTTCTCACCTAGAAATAAAACCAGAAAGTTACTTACAACTAGCGAAATTCTTATTGGCGTTCTCGTGGACGTACAGGAAAAGAGAGTTTCATGTTATATAAGTTATATGTTATACATGTTCACGAGAATATAAGTTAATATTTATTTACTATGGGAAGATAATTGTGATTCTTGACGTATGAATCAATCTCGTCTTTAATAACTCTGAAGGTAAACGGTGGTAGCGCAATTGATTGTGAAAGCTGTACCACAACTTCCAAGGATTTGTGTGAAAAGAAATCATCAAAAATATTTTAATCCAACTTCGCAAAGTAGTTTCCCTGCGTGTGACGAGAGCGCAATAGATTTAATAACGATCATTGACATTATTTGTGTAAATTTTGTACCAGCGATCGTGAAGAACATTGCTGCTGTTACTCATGAAGTAATGGAGAGGCGTAAGTACTTGAATTCAAAACCTCTCAGTCGAAAAGCTCTGTGTTTGTAATGCAGATCTCAGTATATTTGCATGTAGTAGCCGATCAAAAATTGGTCGGTGAGCAGCGCGCCTGCTGTGAGTAGCAAAACTTTTAGCTATAAAAAGAAGTTTGCCGGAGTGCCTAGGCAGAGAGTATATATCGTAGTACCGGAGAGTATATATCGTAGTATCGAGAGTACCGGAGTGCCGAGGCTTTTAAGCATACTAGCGAGGCTTTTAAGCTCTGGCTTAGCGTCGTCCGCAGCTGATACCAATGTTGCTTTCGGAGTCGCGCCCACGTTTTGCCTTTCAGTTTGCACTCTATATCTGAATGTCTTTACTGAGTGAAGCACGATGCGATTATGTGTATAACGGATGTCTTCAACAGACGCGACATTTTTTTTTTTTTTTGAAACCCGTCGCTGTGATTGTGCCGTACGTATTGCGTATTTATTTTAGCCAACCCTCAAGTAACTTTCATGCTTTTCCCTCATGACGCTCTCACTTGTTATTTTTCAAGTGGCGTTTTAAATATTAGAAAACTACAGGATCCGAGTCCTGTCGCGGTCGCCAATTTGTATGTTAAAGTAACATATTAAATAAAAATTAAATTAACTACGGTCACCAGCCTAAAAAGACAATATTTAATTAACCAAAGTGGACATCTACTGGCAATGCGCGAAGTAACACAAAACTTCAACGACCGTGAGCAAAGGGGGTGGGAGGGAAGGGTAGGCGGCGGTCGCCGATAACGAAAAGCAGTGGGTCTTTGCCGTTGTTTCAGGGAACATGAATGGGAGACCATCTACACCCGTTAATTTGCTTTCGGGATGGGAATAAAGGTTTCCTTTTGGAACAATGGCGAAATGTTTAGTATGTTCCAAAGAAATGAAGTACCTGAGGAACCTGCGAAATAAAAATAAATTCTATGAATTGGCATACATCCCACAATCGTGGGATAAGTAAAGTAATTTGCAAGTTGAAGGTAATGGAAAAGATACTAAAAATCATGAGATTTACATTCTCAAAACTATATATCAAAAATAATCAAGCCTGGGGTCCAAATTCTCTCATGTTACCCCTACCGGGTACTTATTTGTTAACATTAAATATTGTTTCAAAACGAAATAATTCATTATTTTATAACCCATTGTATAAAATGTTATTGTTCTAAAATGTTAAAACTCTTTTCCAAAATGTTATTTAATAGAAGAATGATGTGGAATTACCGTACTGATTATGATGAAGAGTCGGATATTGCTTTGAGTTATGTTATAATGTATGTTCTATTATATAATTCTTCATATTGTTATTGTATCATAAACATTCTAAATAATAATTATCATTTAATAAATGTAATTATTGATTTTCCAAGCAAACATTTTCCCCCATTTCCATACCATCATTAGATCACTGTGCGCCGGACGCCGCATTTGGCTTTGCTCCGCCGCTCAGCTCGGAGCAGGAGAGCAGGTTTCTGTGGCATCACAGAGCATTGAGTTGGCAAGCACTAATCTAATTAAATGTTATTTGCAGCTTCCTCAGCGAGAACAGTCTTCATTTTTATTTGCCTTTAAATTGTATGGTTTGATCAGCAAACAGCTTTCTAAAGATTATCACATTCTAAATATAAATGTATTCTATATTCTAAAAAAAAATTGTTGAAAGACTCAATTAAAATGTTTGAAAGTCAAACTGCAAAAATTCCATTTGCTTCTCTGAAATAATTATATTGTATTGGGCATTTGTCTGTTTTCATAAATTAATAAATTAAAAATGAAATACAGTGATGCCTTTATGTCGGCCTTCTAAATTTGCACCTAAAAGTGGTTGTCATGAAGGGGTTTCATTTATTAAGTCTGCATTCTGGGCATTGGCGTAAATACATACATAAACTATGTATTTATTAGTTTATTTAATAAAAACTACAAATAATATGCAAATATCATGCAATCTATTAACAACCATTAAAACTATTGTACATACCAGACTCTTATATTATTCTTTGTGTGTTTTGAGCATAAAATGTAATATGGTTGTCTGTTTGAATTTTTTTGTAAACCAGCATTATAAGCAACCCTTTTCCATTAACAAAATTGTTCATAATATGACATATTATTGCATTAATCATTACGTCATTGCTATTTCTGCACATAATATGAGCCATCACTGACGTAATAGTCAAGGCCCCTGTAGATTATCAGTTATGGAGTTCAAAGAAGGCAGTGGTACCATGTAAATAGATTGCAGTGTTCACAATAAAATCAAATACGTTATAAAAAAAACTTACTTTTAAAAACTGATTTATTAATTTATTACTCCTTTAAAATTATATTTTGTTTTTATGTGGTAATATAACAAGAACAACAAAAACATCAAATTAATTCTTGTGAACATGTACATTAATTGTTAAATTTGAATTGTTCGATTTGATGGTCAGTGACACTCCAGATCATGCATTTATATCTAAACCGCTTGATTTTTCTTTGCTTTCTGCAATAACCAATATCTTGTTAGCTATTTGAATCTTGTTATTCAACGATTCTTCAATGTCAGACTCGGCTGTACTTGTAGACCGCCATCCTCCATGACATTTAAGTGTAGTGATATCACCACTATTGTCTGTGAGAAACGTCGCGGATGTCTCGTAAACGAATGACACTTTTCTTCATTTGGTAATTTTAAAAAATTTGCAATACTTTTTGGTATTTTCGCAAATGTTTTGATACTGATTGCAGCTGTGTTTGCCATGATTGTAAAACAAAAAAGTTGATTATGTTTGATATGTGAGGGTCTTAAGGAAATATATTTTTTACAGACTTCAATATAATTAAATTTTTTACTGGATAAGATAGTAAGTATTCTGAGCTTGTTATTTTTTGTGGCTTTTAATGTTTACTATCAAAGCAGAACCTTCCTCTTTCACATCGTTGATGCACAAATTGTTCAATTCAACACGTCTACAAGTACCAAATATGCGAAAAATAGTAACAACCTGAAAAACAGTTATTGAATAACCAGTTAACACGAGTTAATGATTAAAACTGAACTATTATTGCCATTGTCATTATTATACTTTGATTATAAGAAAAGTTTCATCATCAGCTTTTGTAAGAAATGTGTTTACATCTTGTTGGGAAAATACCATTGCCTTTATGGGCGGATGTCCCACATTTGCTTGTTTAATAAGTAAACTTACTTTATGAAAAGTTCCAATATCAATATTGTCTTTGATCTGGAATAAGTGCATCATAGTGTCGACGCTTTACATGCTGTGGACTTAATGTTTAAAGAAGTATGTATTAAATTAACAAACGTCTTTATTCTAGCATGTGCATTATACTAACTTAACCAACCTCCTCTGACAGATATGAAAGAACAACAGCTTTGCATAATAAATTTGCAAGTTTTTCATCCATCTTATTTCCTAAACTTTAAGTAGTCTTTCTCATAAAGTTTGCAAGCCTTTTTCGGTATCAAAGCATTTTCTGCTTTTGCAGCTTCTTCCATAATTTCTCTGGGTAAATCCATTATGTTTGAATCGTGACTTTCAAACTAATTGCCATTTGTAAACAAAGTAGTTGCTTAGGTAGCATTCATGACGTCATAACATGAATTCGAGAACTACAACTACGAATTACAACTTAACATCCAAATTAATTTCGCTTCCTTTAATCCTTATAATACTGTTAAACAAAAAAATAGTGTATGCAACACATTTATAATGTTACTTTTTTGCACTCATAAGAAGATATTACCGAACTTACTCCTAACGTCGTTCGTTCGGTAATATCTTCTGCAAAAAAGGTATTATTGTGTGTGTGCAAAAAAGGACAACATGATAAACTAATTGCATAATATACTATTTTACACGTTCAGACACAATATTGTGTTCATATTTTTTTTTTTTTTCAATTTCATTTCACAAATTTATTAACTTGACATTTTTCAAATAATTTGCCAATAACATATTACTTCTAATACCGGAGAGGGTTTGAGGTAATAATAATGGTTCAACTGGAAACCTATCAATTTATTCCTCGTTGTCGACCGGGACAACTTCGGAATCACATCATCCCAAGTTTTATTATTAGTAAAACAGTCGACCCGTTGAATTAGCAATGTCAACATCAATACTACTGACTTCATACAAATTATCGATGACATCTACTCTGCTGTCATGCACTGTTTCACTAGTCAAATCAGCACATTCAAATGTATAGTTTATAAAACAATTTTTAATTGTTTCAGATCTCGCTTCATTCCAAGCACTTTAAACAATCAACCCACTGCATCCAAAACTGTAGTAGATTTTGCTAATTCATGAACTGCTGAGGCGTCATCCATTCCAGCAACTAATGATCTCATTAGTTTATTCCTATTCAAGATTTTGAACATACGAATTATTCCCTGATCCAGGGGTTGCAAGCAAGATACCGTATTTGGCAAAATTATTTTATTTCTACACTTCAAAATTTTGCGTTGCAATACATGGAGCATTATCGACGATGAGTAAAATCTTTTGCATATTGCATTTTCGTGTTCAGTTTGTGCAGCCTTGTACGAAAAATTTCACACGTTATCCATGCTTTTTTTGTTGGCGAACCAGAATATGTTTAAAGCATCGTAGACGCAATGTATGGATAACAATTGGCGCATAACGCAATTGTTTGTATCTACATTGCTAACTAACCACCCTTCTTCACTGCAAGCTTATTGCGTATCGGGTATTGCTTTAAATAGATGGCCTCACTCATGCGGCATATGTTACATGGCACGTATCCTTTGGTAATAACGGAAATTCGCGATTTCCTATCACTAGTCATATTTTCATTGACTTCACCGCTTTTGACACTTAACACTTCAAAACACAATGTTGCGGCGAACACGAAAACTGACCAACCATTCACTAGCACTAAAATTTCGACTCCACGGTCTGATAGGATTCGAAGAGCTTTTCCTTGTATCTTTAGCCCATTTCAGGGAGGTCCTGAATTTTGAGGTTTGAATGAGCACGATTGAACCATTGTAAAGAAACACTGTAATGCCTTGTAAGGCATTACTTCTCTTCTTAGTGTCCTTATTAACGTTATCAATGTGTCAAGTACCGATCCCGATAATCAAAAATTTACCGTATCTGACTTTTACCAGATTAACACCTTAGTTAACTTTCACTGCGATTTTCCGTTTTCGCTTTCTCTTATCACTGATAAGCGAGTTTCTTTTGACGATTGAAAGGGTGAAATGGGAAAGGGATTGGCCAGGGTGAAATGAAAATTGTAGCGAAAACAGGCATTCCTAGTGCAGTCCCTACACAATTAGCGGCAACACTACTCTGCGAAAGCACATTAAGCGGTACATTGCATGAAGGAGAAATCAGTGAACCTGCCTCCAATGCCATTCTAAGAATAGCACACCCAAAGGGGCAGTTGTCTGCGGCGGTACCCCCTACCTCATGGGAAACCGCCGGTTGCCACCAAGGCTGCAAGTTGCAGCTAGCAGAAAACGACATACGACAATGAAAAACATTTCTCCATAATTGGATAAAATGGTCACTTTAAAGGGGCAAAAGATTTTGTTGAGGAATTGAAGGTCGTTCGTTGGGAATAGGAGTGGTCGAAATAGAGGGACTTTCTAAGCATTGGTATTATGGGAAAAACATTCCGTCCCGAAAAAAGTGATCGGGAAGAGGGGTTTCACTTTATTTATAACTGAGTCCTGTGTCAGATGAACAGAGAGGCCATGTGAAGGAATTGAGTGTGTGTTGGTAAGTAGTCCTTCCTCATAGAGCACGTGTTGTTTTGACACTGTTTTTAGCACTTTTTTCTGAAACATCCTGTACGGTTAATTTTTTAAAATATATTTTCCTTTGAAGCAGGACTACCCTATAAGGTAACGCTGTGAACGGTTTTATGTTGAGGTAGCTGGAAGAACTTAAAGAGACCCAAGTTGAACTGAAGGCACTGAGAGAGGAGACAGAGCAGCTGCGCCACAAGCAAGCAGTGCAGGACGAGAAGCTGGCTGAGAAGCACAGTGCACTTCAGGAGAAGGCATCACGCGAGCGTTTCCTGGAAGAGTGCATTATGTTGGAGACACAGGCCACGGAATCTGCAGCAGAGCTTATTGACCTAGCAGTTCAAGTAGAGTGAGTACCAACTATGCCTAATAGTCAATTGTGTTTGAACATGTTTATTATGCAAATAATTTAGTTTTAAGGGTGCATCGAAGGCTGGGATTTTGAAATTGAATAAAACTTTATGCTTAGTTGTAGGGTACAGTTGCCATGTCATGCATTTCAAAGGCATAAGTGGAAAACACAAAAGACAACTCAAGTGAGCAGATTCTGTGAAGTTGTCTGATGTTGCAATTGGTAACAGACTTGGATCAACTGTCAGTGTTTCGTGTTTCAATCCCGTGTGTGTTGTCTTTGTTTTGTTTCTTTTTTTCTGCGACATTATTATTAATTACAATATTCAGAAAAGCTGTTTCTGCATTACTTTTTTTCCCATTAGTGTCTGATTTGCATTTAATTCACTTTTTTTTAAATGATATGATAAATCATTTTTTAGAAATTAACTAAAATCAATATTTGAATTACTTTCAAGGCGCTGGCAGGAAATAAAAAATACAGAAGCTGGGAGTTCAATAAGTATCACTCAGCGTTTAAGCTTGGATTGTTGTTAGTTGTGCCACCAGGTAACTTGGCTGTGTCTGCTCAGTCAGATCCTTTGCTCGGCTGACAGTACACCCAAGATATTTTTCTACTCCCTCTGAATTATTCTTTTACTAGAATGGCTGCAGTGTGTTGCATAATGATTGCCATTATGCTACAACTTCATTGTAGCACTAGTGTTTGACACCAGTCAGAGAGAAGTAACTCAGTGCAACAAATTTGAATTTAATGTTGTGTTGCGAGATGAAAGGATGTGTTCTTTACTAAATTATATACACTGATTGGGAAAATGAAATCAAATGTTTCATCACAAACCTGTTTTTCTGGAAAAGATACACCACATATACCACTTTCGAGAAACTTGGAAACGACTCGCTAACGATACCGGAGGAGTTGATTAATATACATATGAAGTAACTAAAATTGTTTGTATAATTAATTATTTGTATTACAGAACATAAAATGAAAACAATATGAGGAAACTGCATAAAGCGTGAAATGTACTTAGAAGTTGGGTGGATGGTGAAACTTCTCGTAGGAATTTTGATTAAATTTTGTTGTTGAATAGTGTGAAGGATGTTTAAGAGAATGGTGCAGGTCTAATTTTCATTGAAATCTCCAATTTTTAATTTGTGGGGGGCGGGGGGGGGTGATACGATAAAACTACAGAATTGAAGGTAAACATTTATGTCTCAGACAGTACCTGTTTTCTGGATAATTACACCACAGATTTTCAAATTTGTGTGTGTGTGGTTTTTTGTGACATTTGTTATTTGAATAGCCAGTGTACTTCAGGAGTAGTCTCATGTTCTTGTAGGTTTTAGTTTAACCGAACGAAATGGCCACCAGTATCAAAGGTTTCTTGTTTCCATTATGTAAGAGAACAGCTTTGAGACTACTCTCTGGCGAATGTTTAAATAGGTGCCAATCTTCCATAGTGTGAATCGTGCCAATTTTTGTAAGCAGCCGATTTATGTCATTACAATATACCAAACTCTCTTCCTTTGAGAAAAACGAGAGGAAAGATCAAGATGTTGTTTATTGAATGTAATATTAGTGTTTTCTTGAAGGTTAGACCAAAGTAATTCTGCTTGCCTTTTTGAAAGATTTGGATCTCTTACAAGATCGCTCAATTCTGCCTGTGACAATTTGCTGTGGTTTTAGCCAAGCTGTAGATAGTATGTAGTAAAGATCTTCGTTATCTGTTCATTTGTCTGTACCAGCATCATTTCTATTCCATTGGAGTTTTTGGAACTGAGAGAGAATCCCCCTCCACGGTTTCTGTATGGTATTCTGGCGGCTCATTGTTTGTATTTGCAAGAATAAACATAGACAATATATATAAACGAAATCGCAAATTGCCTTTTTTACTTTTTCAAGATTGAGCACAAATAGTAAATTCCTGCAATTGAATTGCTACTCGAACTATGTGAACAATATTGAAAATTGTATTTCTTTGATTATGTAAGATTTTTAGAAATATAGTAATTCGTTATCTGGAAAAGATGATTATCCATTTAATACACACTATCGCTCAAGTACCAATTGCAGATTGGAGGAATCAGTTAATTTATTTGTGACTTTTTGTGGTAATGTTAACTCGTCTGTTGTTTCTTACTCGGGTAAATGTGAGGAAATGCTTTCTTATGACTTTACCAGAAAAAGGAATAAAATAATAGCAGATTATAAATTTGAAGATGAAATTTTAAGAAGAGTTGATTGTATGGTGTTGACCTGGTCACATTGGGTGTCACGTTTGATGATAAGCTGACTTTTGGGAATCATGTTCAGGGAGTTATTTCTAAGGCACTAAAAATATGGGGTATGGTCTTGCGAGACTCTGTGCAGTTTTGATCTGCTGTTTTTTACTGCTGACCCTTTTGTTTTTTTTATTGAGCATTTGTTAGACTAATTCTTGAATATGCATTGCCTGTTTGGAACCCATATACAAAATTGAGTATACCAGCCATGGAAAGAATTGAACTAGGTTCCTAAGGATTTTTGCCCATAGAATTGGTCTGAAAATGGCCCTAGGCGATCATGACAGTGTCATTCTCCTAAGATCTAAATTAAATAATCTTCATGGTAGAAGAAAGCATGCTGATATTTATTTCGTACTTGGTGTTTTGATGGATAGAATAGACTGCACAGACATTCTCTCTTACATTCTGACATTCGTTTAGAGTATCAAAGCTAATCTTCAGAAGAATGACTTCCTTTTTAGTTGATGCTTCTGTGAGTTACAATTATATTAGAGACAATGAATCATGGTTTGGCGAATAGCTTAGGAACCGACAATCATATTTTGACGACTGGAAATTACGCCTTTCAAGATTTTTGGAATAGATATCGTGATTAGTTTTGATAATGTGATATTTGTAAGCTTTTATTTACTTTTATTTTCCTTCTTTTGAGCTTATATTTGTACTACTTTCTGTCGATGAGATCTTTTGGATATTTTATATGTAGCTACACATGCTAACAATTACTGTTAATTCTTTTTGAACTGGTATTTTAACTGTGTAAAGGATATCCCCTGTTAATTTTATTGAATAAATATTATTACTTATTTATTACTGATAACTGTAACAAGTGCAAAATTATAATACTAATAATTTGCATGAGGAATTAATCCTATGTGCATGCCTGCAAAACTCATCTTCTTTTTCTATTATATGTGTGTGCACTTGGGTACGTGTCAAACACACAATGTTTATTCTATGGACAAAAACCTGTGCACTGACTGTGCTTTCCATCCGTTCACATTGTTAATTGTAAATATATAAAGTACCACTTCATTGATTGCACATGTAGAAATTCATATTCTTTGTGCCTGCAGGAAACAGCACAGTCGTTTGCTTGAGAGCAACACCCAAACAGAGCCTGTGTTAAGGAAGTTTGAAGCTGTGATGAAAAAAGAGAGTCAATTGGAGAGTAGAAAGGCGGCTTTGGAAGAAGATATTGTAGTTCAACAAAAGATCTTAGCTGATTCAGTGAAGGAGAGGAAAGAACTTGAAAGGTTGTGGTGGTTGTTGTTGTTGTTGTTTTTTTCCATTTCATTTGGCCATGAAATGAAATGCTTCAATGATGATGATCTCTTATTATTATTATTTATTATTATTATTATTATTATTGTTGTTGTTATTGTTATTATCATCATCATCATCATCATCATCATCATAGTAAAATCTGTCTAAACTGGAATCAATATGGACAAAAAATTGTTCCCATTTAGGAAGGTGTCAGTGTTATGCAGGGTTGTTCATTTATTATACTTGGTTATGTATATTTTTCTATACTGATACTAGGAACATGACTTTATTATTATTATAAAAATATATTAATATATAACGTATTTATGGAAGAAATAACCAATAAATTAATATTAAACATGATTTCTGACAATGAAAAGGAACACAACTTGTTCACTAAAAGAATGTTATTTTCTCCAACATTCATCGAGTATTTTTGCTATTTGGTATTCTCTCTTACTAACTAACACCTTTTCAGTTAGATTTTCTGAAGATGAAAAATTTTAATATTTAGTTTTATGATTTCCATCACTCCAAATATTATTATTTTACCAACTGGTTATGAAACACACTCTTTCAGCACACAATGCGTCACAGCCCAGAGTACTAAGGTTTCTGATACCCTTGCATGAATTTGAGCAATGCAGCTCTGGTCAAGGGGTTACGATTGTCAACGAGGGCCTGGAAGATGCGAGAATACACGCCTGGCTCGTACATCTTACGCTCGTACACCGTACACCCTACGCTCAGAGAGACAGGAGAGAAAAAATTCCCCTATGGATATACCTTGAGAGACATGAACCCCTACGTCAAATTCTGCGCTAACAGCTGAAGCACCTTTCCTTCACTGTATGACTGCCACGTCTAGCACACATATTACATGGACAGAGATACTAAAACAGATTGTTGATTCATTCAATCCATTAAAAGTATCTTGCTTCTCTTTGCCAACTGCATTAAATTCATAGAAATTCTGTTTTATGAAGTTTTTTCCTCTGCATGACATGAAAAAACGTACTGTCTTTGCCTCTGACAGATTCCGTTTTATGCTGTCTCATATGTCACGTGACCGACCATTCAAGCATGAAGATGAGCTAAGGTCAGTGTTGTAGAACCTGTATCACAATTCTTTTTGTAATAAGAATATGCAAGCTGGAGGATGCATAAATTAATCGCCTAAACGGCTTGGATGCAGGTGAGAGGTAGGTGAAGCTTTTCTTTCTGTTGGTCGCTGATAATTTGAACATACAAAATCCCTTTCCCAACATAACCTATATTAATCAATCGAGCAGTGCCGGCGTGCCAGTGAATGCTCCGCCAGGTGGCAAATCATGAATAAAGAGGAATATTTAAATTTGAATCTGAATTTTCAATATTGACGGAAGAAGGCAGTAAACTAAATCGTCATCTGTCCAAATTGTAATTGTTGTTACCACGAAAGCTGTGGGTGGTGAGTTAATGTAACCTCAAATGGAGGCTTCAGTTGCTGTCAAGTTGATCAAGGTGATTTATCAACAACCATTGACCTCTCTTCAGACCTCGAGGCTGACACATCAACTGAAAAAGTTGTGGAATTATCAACAGAGGATAACATGGCTGCAGCGAAATTTGCGAAACTCCTTAGAGAAGAACTTGGAAACTATATAAAGAAATGAAAGACAAATTTACTAGCAAAAGAAGACACTTTGATGAGAGAAATCAGAAACAACATCTACGTGATTGCTAAGAAGGTGAAAGATCTAATAACTGATGTGAAGAAATGTCAAAATGGTCTGAAATATATTTCAAGTAAAATGATGTCTATTCAAGAGGATAATGTCAAGCAATTGTCAAGATGTGATGCAATTGAGTCCAAACACAGAGATAATTCTTGACCATTCAAGATGGCAGAACTCTCACATGAGCTACTGTGTAGGAACAATTACTTACCTCACAACATCTCATTAAATAAGGATCAAACTCCTTTGCAATGTTAGGAGATTATGGACTTGAGAATAGAGCTGGCAAGGTGAATTGGACGACCCGAAAGCAACCATCAAATATAGGAAAGGTACACCGGAAAAACATCAGTGGCTGTCAAGCTTCTCAGCAGGAAATCTAGCACAAGTAACAGTATGCTATCCTAAAATTTACTATATAAGCATAGCAAGCCTTTTGCCAAAATTTGATTTGTTTCTACTGCACATCTATGAATACAAACCATCTAATTTAAGCACTGATAGAAACATGGTTATAACCAGACCTTTCGGATGAAATTATTTCATACAGAGGGCTATAATATGTTTTGTAGAGAGAGAACCAAAAGATGCAGGGTAGTAATTCTGATAATGTAACGAGGGATTCAATCGAAATACACTTACAGCTATCTCTCATTCAGATTTGCAAAAAGATTCTCAGGAATTGCTATGGCTGCAAATTAGGCTAAATCATTTGAGTTCATATGTTATATCGATCTCCTTTGCCATCACATAGAATTTCAGATGTAGATACTGCCCTTTTTGATACGTTTCACTAGAAGAACGATTTGGAAGACCTTACCATTATCGTGGGAGACTTCAATTTTCCAACGCTTCACTTTCTCCAGCTTAGCCAGGTTACATCCCGCTTGTAGAAAGAGAGTTTCTTAAGGTATAGGAAGATTCTTGTTTCTTTCTGCTGGTTACTGGTAGAACTAGGCATCAGGACAGATAGAGATCAGCAATGCTTGATCTAATTATCACAAATGACCAGTCAGCTTTATCGATTTCAGTCGAACAAAGTGCTGTCGGTAATAGTGTTTATGCTGCTCTGTGCAATGATATGCAAATCGAATTTTGGGATGCAGATTCCTCTAACCTGAACCGCAAGGTATGCAAATTGCGGGAACATGAAGAGGGACTTTCGAAAGCTCCTTCTCACTTTAGAACACATCTAGAAATTGGAAAGTAATTGGATGATATTTAGATCAGGAATGCCTTAGATGCTCACTCGTCTATTCAAAAAGAAATTCTGAACAAAAATAAACCATGGATTACTAAAAGGATACAACTGATATGAAAAAAGAAACAACTATGGACTAAATTTAAATCCACCAATTGTCTATCACAATACAGGAAATACAGTAGAGTACAAGAGTATTGCAACACATTATCAAATGAGATTTGTGTTCGCAGGACAAATTATGAACAAAATATTGCCAATACCAAGGGCAAACATATGTACTCCTACATCCTCAAACAGATTTTTTTTCCACAGTATCTATCCCGCATACCCTCCTCAAATATGAAGGGAAAATTGCTTCAGTTCCGTGTGATGTCACTGAGGTCTTTGTAGAAAGTTTTCAAAACTTCTACACATTGGAACCAAAGAATTCTCTCCCATCCACATTGTTGCCTCTTGCCGAGGAATCATGGAAAACTTACCTCACTATATAGAACCTACATTCTCCCGATAGTTGAATTTTGCACCACTATTTGGAATCCTTACTTTCTCAAAGACATAAATCTGCTGTGAAATGTACAAAGGAGAGCCACAGGTATCCCTTCAGCCCTCAAGAACATGACTTCTGATCAACTGACAAGAACCAGGCTTCTGACTCTGGCTGCTAAGCGACAACGTGGCGACGTGTGAAACATTCAAGATCTTGCACAGGCATTACAACTTCAATCTTAATAGCATTTTTCATCAATCTGAAAATTTTCAATTACGAGGTCATAGTATGAATCTTGTAGAATTTAGACATAATGTAATGCAGCACAAGAACTTCATAGGTAAGCGAGTTGTTGATGCCTGGAACATACTACCCCATAACATGGTATAGGCACTTAGTCTTTAGATGTTCAAAAGGTGCTCTCTTCAATGAGGAAGGACATGGACTTCATTGATATGCAGACTTTTCCTCCTTTTCAAGAATTATGTCAATTATTGTGATATTTACATTTACATGTGATATGAAACATTGTGAAATGTCAAAAATAATTAATTATGTTAACGTCGATTCGGGCCGCATCAGATCGCACTGTTGCCTGTATATTACCTTAAATAAATAAATAGAAATGCCACTTAAAGTATTAGGCTGGTCAAATTTTCCCGTTAAGGCAGGTTTCTGGCTTGTACAGGTTCTGGTTTAGACTGATTTTACTATATTATTATGAAATAATTGTAGCTGTAAAACTAGCTAGTAAACACATATCCCATAATTATACAACTATTCTACAAAATATAACTCATATCCCACAAATCATCTTATATCACAGTTATTCACTTGTCACATCGTCGCATCAAGTTATCCAAAACAAAACTAACACCATTACGTCATATCTCAGCTGTCATATCATCTGCTTCTTCATTTATTCCAATCCACAAACAATGATCCAAACTATTCCTGGGTAAATTGAAAACCTACTTGTGCTTGCAGGGAGAACATTTTAGACTTTTGGAAGGTCTCAACCATGCATAAGGCACTGTATTCTTTATTGATATCCTTCTCTTTGATATTTATATTTGTTTATTTTTCATTCAAATTCCCATTTTTATGTTGTTGTCTTACTTTCTCTAGGTCTCACATTCACTGTTAGTTGCAAAGGGATCTCGTAATGTTAGAATACACACCTTCCACTAGTGGGGGCTTAGGTCGAATTCGTGTGGAATTTGTGGTGAACAAAGTGAACTCTTGGTCGTGGGGAGCCATATACACCACAAGAAGAGACGCAAGTTTGCTATATATAGATTTTTTTTTTTACATATGTATGTACAGTTTATACAAGTCCTCACTCTGAAGCATGGAACTAAGTCGGTTCGCAATTTGACCTCTAATGTGCCCTGACACATACACCATCTGCTCTACAGTGATAGAGAACCACTCAGCCGGCCTGAACTCATCTGAGCACCATTTGCACACAGCATTCTGCACCAGCCTGAGCAAATAAAGTTTTTCAGTACTCCTGTGAGGAAACCAAGAAGAATTACCCACGAGTAGCTTTGTGGCACTCCTCTATAAAGGGCTGAACCACGTGACTTGATACGTCATCTGCTCCCACACATTTCCCTGGGTCTCTGTTTAAGCGACATTGGCTCAGCATGCGCGACACCCTAGCACCAGCTCCCAACTAGACACCCCATGGTCTGGTGTGGTCCACATTGTTCAGGTGTCTATATTTAGCTACCCTCATTCACATACGTTGCAAGTGCTTCTCTGAGCAGGAAACCAATCTCATGACCCTACACTGGTTATCTCAGGGTGCTCCCATTTCATCTGCCTAACATTCCATTACAGTTCCTTTTTCATCCACCTGATCGTTTTGTTACAAGGTCTACAATAATGTGCTACTTAGTTTTGTTTTTCTAAAATTATTTTCTATTCCACACTTCATGCTATTTTGAAACTTGATGCTCTAATGGGCAAAATTTTGTGATTTAGGAACATTCAAGACATTCAGGGCGAAGAGTTCAAACATCTACAAAATATTCTTTCTTTGGAAAAGAAATTTGAAGAAGTTACGGGAAAAATTCAGGAGACAAAAGAAGAGATATCATTGACGAGTGAGGACTTCGAACAGGAGAGAAAGAAATTATTTGAAAAGGTTAGTCATAGTCTCCTTATATTTTCTGGAAGGTTACCTAGTCAAATTCATGTGTCTGTGTTTCTCTCTCTTGCTCGCTCGCTCCCACTCTCTCATCTCCCTCCCTCACCCCCCTCCCTCTCTCCTCCTTGCTCTCTTTGCCTTTATTGTCTATATTTTGCAAAGGATTACAATTTTTGGTCTGAATTCTGTATAAATAAAAGAAAAACATTGATGAGACAAAAGTCGAATTCATGTTATTTCTGCTGAGGTAATTTTCCCTCATTAATCTCATTTATTTTTATCAGCAATTCTTTTAGTACTGAGATTAGGGATGCGACATCGAGGCCAATGTTATCATAAAATCATCAATGTATTTAACAACATTTTTTGTAGCAAATGTTTTGTATTCAATGTTTTTATGGGGTCAATATTTTTTAAATGAAAAAGTCCAAAATAAAATCCTGTTTTAATTTTCAGATAACCATCAATTAAATATTCCTCAGGTCAATAGACAAAGGGTAAAAAATAAGTTTCATTAATTATTCTGATGATTTTTTTACTATTTTGTCAGTTAAATTTCAATGATAATTAAGAAAATACATCACTTTCAAATTCAATCTTCCCTGGGTCATCTTGAGACGTTACTACTCCAGTTTTAAAAACATTGAAGTTTTGGGTTTTATTAACATCAATGATTTAATTTTGAACATCGATGTTCTGTTAGCAATGACGCCTCTCTAACCGAGATACTTTTGTACACTACACTAACAACCCACAATACAGATTATCAAGTTTTCTTGAGCTCTATAGGGAATGCAGATATTCAAATAATCTTCGACATTTTCTTGCTGAAATTAAAGTAAAATTGTAGGAAACAAGCAAATTTATATATGCAATAGACTTAATATTATGAAATATGAATATCATTACATGATGAGAATTAAATAACAGTGTGTGGATGGAACAATGTAGATTTTTGAAATCTGCATGATGGATCAATCAGATGGTGATATTTTATTTACATTATAATATTCATTTGTTGGTTTTTTGTACCCGTTTTAATTTGTTGAAAACTGATTTTGTATTTCAGGCTGCCGGTGTAAAAGCAGAACTGAAAGCAGCTATGTACCATGATCAGGACCAGATTTAATAAATTATATAATAACATTTGTGCATCTGCTTGGTGTTTTTTTTAATAAAGTCAAGATTTGTTGAAAAAATAAAATTAATTTTGTACTTAATTTGCCCGTGGAGATCAGTGATCACTTTCTTAAACTTATTTTTATACTTTAATCCTAATGAATATGTTTTGCGTAAGATCTGTGATCAATTTCAATTAAGTTGTCATACATACTGGAATGGAATTAAAAAATGTAGTTAATTACTGGTTTGTTTGTTGAAAAATATACAGACTACTCTAATACAAAGATTAATATCTAAACAAACTACTGTCTGTTGGTATGTAAGAATTATACTTTTGTTCATGTTCAAATTTGCATAGCTTTGTTACAAGATTTCTTAATAGCAAACTTGTTAATCAAAGTGCTTTTATTGTATTTGCGACAATACAAAGTAAACAAAGTGAGTTCAGCTATAATTGAAAAATACTAGTTCGTAGATAGGACTTATCTCTTCTGAAGCAGGAGAACCTCTGTCCTCTTGTGTCATTAGTAGCAGGTATGCACAAATTTATCCTTAAAGCTATGTCCAAATCCCGATAAACGTTCTATAAGAAATTATACCTTGGAAATTTCATAATTCTTCCCAATGGTAGATCAATCCGCACAGCACAGTGCTTTTAAAAGTAGCTGTACTCCAGTGAAATCCAAATCTTTTATTTATTTATTTATTTATTTATTTTGCAAAAGATAACCGCCAAAAAAAGTTTGTTTCCTTCTCATGGCATGCGCTAAGGAAGAAAACACATTTAAAAATGTAAGTGTTATCCATCTGGCACACGCCATAGTCTTTGAAGCACTTACTGATGAGCATATATATTTAAAACCAAGCAGATTGCCGTTCTCAAGGTGGAAGTAACGACGCACCCAACTTTGAACCTATGGAAAGGCTTAGTGAATGACACAGACTTAGCTTCTGAAAATGAAGAGGAACTAATAATATTTATTAAGAGTCAGGACATGACTGAAGTCCCTAATTCAACCCTGATTCTTACATTTGACCATCTGTCTCTCCCGGAAAGGATCAGTTGTGGTTACTACAACCCTCATGTGCGACACTTACAAATACTTCCCCCTGTTTTAAGTGTCAAAGGATTGGGCATACCCAACAACGATGTATGTTGCCCAGTGTGTGGGAAGTGGGGTGCATCAGTGGACGATCAACATCCCTGTGCTCATCTCCGCGCTGTGACAATTATGAAGGTAACCAGCCAGACAACTACAACCAGTGACCTTTCTCTGGGAAAGAGAGAGTCAGACGATAAGACACTGAAAAGGTTTCGTTTCCTGAAGCTCAACGCCGGCTCTAGGCTAGAAATAAAATAGACCAGTCACGATCCTTATCCACTACTTAAAACACCAAGTCTTTAGAGTTCATAGCAAGTTGTCAGACAATGTGCTCCTGCACTAGTAGCACACATCAGTTGTGAGGTGTCACCTTTAGACTTCCATGATGAGACGTCGTGCAACCAAGATGGAAAGGTGATAATAATAATAACGTTTAAAAAACTAGCCAAAAACCCCACCAGCCACAGGTTGCTTCTACTGAGCCTCCTAATGAAATAGACTCCGCTAAAATATTGCAGAGGTAACACATGTACGTTACTTTACTACACATTGCCAGACGACATTAAAGAATTAAAGTCTGTACACAAGTTTAAGTTAAAAGTAAAATACCTTCTGCTGCATAACTGTTCCAAACAATTAGAGACTATACGGATCATAAAAAAGAAAAATAATGTTTACTTTAACAATACAGTGTTATATAATGAATTAGTTAACATTTGTATTGTATATTTTTTTCAAAAAAGAACTTAATACGTTTGTAACAAATAATGTACTTCAACTTCTGGGTTAATGACCCCCATCTTCATCAGGTTTTTGTACAGTTTCCCTGGTAAGTTGAGCAAATATTGAGATGGTCCCTTGTTTTGCTTCTGGACGTAAATGTAGTTTCACTATGCGCACGTTTTGTTGAACTCTCCTTTTGCTGGTAGTAGTAGGAGTAGAGTTAAGGGTGAGTTACTGTTTTCTTAGCAATGAAGAAAAATCAAACCTGCAGTTCATTTACCGTTACAAATAAGTTTTCTATAACTCGGAAACGAAAATGTGTAGTTTTTTAAATGTTGCTAGTCTCGCGCTTTTTTAAATTTTATTTATAAATCTTTAACTTTTACTCGCCCTTCAACTATCTATAGTTAAAATGATGGGAAGTGATTCTGGAACTCAAGAAAACGTCCGCAGATGATCTTCTATACCGTATACGCCCGTACGTTATATACAGTTGTTACTGTTTTTGACTCAATAAATCTAAATGTAAAAGCTTTGGAATGTAAATCTTTGGCTTTTAATTATAGTTTGAGTTCGCCTAGACGGCATGTAATTCTTAATGAACAAAATACACCATGTTTTAAACATGGTTTTTACGAGGGTTGCCTTTTATATTTCAGGATTAGAGAACAAAAACTAATATTAATCATCGAAAATCACTTTATTGTTTTTCAAAATATTCCCCATGAAGATCTATTCACTTTTGCATGCGTTTGAGCCAATTGTCGAAGCACTTTTGCCACTCTGATTGAGGTATCTCCAAAACATGCATTCTGAATGCAGCAACCGCTTCTTCAGGTGTCAAAAAACGTTGACCTCTCAGTTTGTTTTTTACGTACGGGAATAAAAAGAAGTCATTCGGTGCCAAGTCAGGACTAAACGGCGGATGACTAATCAAATCGATGTTTTGTTTGCTCAAAAATGCAGTTGTTTGAGCCGATGTGTGAGAGCATTGTCGTGGTGAAGAGTGATCCGTCTTCGGCGGTTGGTTTTCCTGATTTTTTGGAAGACACCTGTAAAACAAATAGTTGTGTACCACTCAGAATTGACGTTGTTCTAGAGAACTGCATTGTTCTAGTGGTAAGGTTGCGACATGTCCAGTTTTTTCGAAAAAAACAGGCGACTATCTGTTTGGAAGTTCTTCGTGCGCGAACAACTTGGATTTTGCTCATCTTGAAACACCCATACAGTCGACTGATGTTTACTTTCGGGCTCATACGCGTGAATCCACGATTCATCACCTGTCACAATGTCATAGACATGTATCGAAGCACCGCGATCGTATTTTTTGAGCATTTCTTTCGAGCTATTGACACGAACCTTTTTTTGAGCAATTGACAAATTTTGTGGGGTCCAACACGAACAAATTTTTTTGACAGTCTTTATGTTCATGCTATATTGAATGTATGCTGTTCCCATTAATGCCTAAGGTTGTCTCAATCTCAAGATAGGTCACATGACAATCTTTCAATATCAGTTCACGCACAGCATCAATGGTTTTCGGAACAACTGATTTTGGACGACCTTCGCGAAATTCGTCTTGGAGTGAACTACGACCACGATTGAATTCACCATACCATCGATAAACACTGGTCCGTGATGGAGCTTCATCGCCAAAAAATTGAATTAATAATATGCAATAGTATAAACAAACCACCTCTAATGTAAATATTAACGACGTGAGAGACAAGCAAAAAAAAACATTAGTGTATTTGAAGAAATAGGGAAAAATTTCGTTTATGTCATCTTATAGAGTACATTTAATACTATTAATCCCAAAAGATAAAAAGAAACTAGTTGTGCTACAAATGGCACAGACTTTCCCGTATTAGTTTTGGTCTCAGCTAGCTTCTCTAACTTGCCACATACTCTTGCCAGCTGCCAACTATCACTGCCCAAAGTACATCGTTTTGACTGTTTCTTAACTTTTAGGTTTCTTAATTATAGAGCAAAATAGTATTTTGAGATTATTAAAGAACAGTAAAACCTTGCCCTAATTGTCAGTTTTATTTGAAACCTTTTATTTTTTAAGTGCGTTTAAGCGCTACTGTATTTTTGAAATTTGAAGCGCTTTTTGGCAGAAATTTTTTGAGTTTTTGAAAATTCAATTTGAAGTCATTTTAAGTCCTTTAACTCACAAATACAATAGTGTTTACAAATGTGTGCCAAATGTGCTTACCAACAGCGTGAGAAATCTTTCAAAAATTTATATTTATGTAATTTTTTAAGAAAAAACAAACAAACAAAATAATACACTAAAAATAACTTAATGTCATATTAAAGAGAGGAATATGCACTGTCCATTCAGAATGTTTGAAGAAAATATTTGGAGCCGCTTTTTGAGGAAATGACATTTGAGCGTTTCTGAAAATTCGAAGTTTCGAACTAGTTATCACTGAAAACGATAAAGTTTTTGAGAAACTTTATATGACATTTAAAGCACATGTACTCATAAATACAATATTGTGAACAAATTGCCATAATATGAATATTAACAACATGAGAGAGACAAGTCAAAAATATTACATTTTTGTAATATTTGAAAACCCAAAAGAATACAGCAATATGGCATTTATATCATTATAGAATGCATCATATCATTTATAGAATGCATTAAATAAATTTGTTTTTATATTGTGGTTTTAAAATTTGCAAATGTTGCTTGGACACTACTAATTGTGGACAATAAATTTTATATCAAGAAAAAACCTCATCTTCAATTTTGTAGTTGTGGGAAGAAATGAAAAAAATTCAAACTTTTGCAATTTTCAAAAATTCAAAGTTAATTGTGAAAATCCGACTTATGCCACCTTTGTGAGTGAATTCTATTTTTACATTAATAAAAAAAATTAAGTCGTTTTTGAGAAACTTATGAAACTGTCCAAATGTCTTCATATAGTGTCCCCAAATTTGAAAAATCTGGAAAGACAGGAGGACGAATGGATGGACGTGCAGACAAACAGACTTCTTGAAATAAAACACTTTTTCGATAGCAGGGGACCCCAAAATGTGTATTTCTGTATAAATCTCAAAATCGATTTTCCGCAGCATTACATAACTTTTCCTATACTACGTATGTTTCTCAGTATATATGTACGTGTACAGTAAATTAAAAAATCATGAGCCGTTTTTGAGAAAATTTTCTTTTTAGTATTTTTTTAAATATTGCACATATTGGATGTGATATTGCGTGAAAACTAATATTTTCAAGAAATGTGCAACCTAAAGGAAAACAAATAAAGGAGAACATCTCTTATTCAAGTTTTTTTGAGTTTTCGATAAGCTCCAAACTTTTGTTACAGATAGTGCCAAATGCACTGTTTAATATGAAATGAAGTTGATTTGGGGTTGTTTAATTTGACATGAAGTTGATCCTTTTGTTTTCTCAAAAATTACACAAATGTAAGTTTTCGAAATGTCTCATGCCATTAATAAATAGCATTTTCAGCAATTTGTAAACGATATTGCATTTCTGTGTTAAAGTGCATTAAAAGACTTCCATTGAAGTTTATTGAAAATGAAAATTTCCTGTGAAAAATAGATTCAAATTTTGTATTTACAATAAGGTTTAAATGCTATTTTCTTAAAATCGGCTGCAAAC